CACTACAAGAACATACCCGAATTGGTTCCATAACTCTCTTATGTTTTCTTATCACTCCCTTAGTCTATGGACTTTTTTTCTTTCACATATATTTAATTTGGTGCGGCACCACCACCAACGAAAGTCAGAAATGGTCCGACTGGGATATCGAGATGGCTGAGGGATATGTCTTCAAACGCGCTCTCTCCGAAAATCGAGAGAAGAATTTACGAATAGAACCACCGTGGACACATTGGCCAGCAGAAAGTCAACAGATCGTTTTGCGTACAGCTGATGGACAGGATCCTGTCGGAGCAATCGGAGATGGAGAATGGCAACGCGTATGGGGTTTGAGGGATGTTGAGAATTTATATGACATTGGGTTTGTAGATAATCTGAAAGATGTATTTATTGGGCGGCAGGGTGTGTATCACGTACCAGATAGAGAGGCCGATATGCCGTTGGAGACACCGAGAGGTTCAAGTTCAGAGCCAACGAGTGCGTAGTATTTATGTAGATCGAGATGTACAATCATGATTTTCAATAATCCATAATGCATGTTTGTGGTGCCTACATTCATCTTTATAATCTTTCTAATCTACAAACTTCACGCCTTTCTTCCTTCTTACGTTAGTTCAGTTCAATCACTCTACCTTATTTCATAGTAGTCAGCACTTTAACAGCAGCCTATATTAAAGCTTTTTGAACAAACCCATTATTATGACTACCAAGTCAATAAACACCAAATTTTACCTCAAATGCCTAGGTAGATTGAACAAGTCAAACCCTTCCAATCTTAAATCATCAAACATACCTCACCAAATCCTACTCAAGAACAAACATGCCCCCCTCCCAACCATACGACCTACCCAAACGTCTCCCCATCCTCCTCGCCGTGCGAAACGCAATTTTTCCCGAGGGGTGCGGTTCATGAAACTGAATACTGCGCTCGGCATTCAATTTTGTCGGCGTAAATTGCCACACCGAACCGTATTGTTTTTCGGCCGCGAAGCCCGTAGATGTCATTGCGTAGAGGAAATCCGCCCAGGGGATTTCGCCCGGGAGATCATTGAGAGATGGTTGCCAGAAGAGAATTTTAAAGACTTTGATTGCTCGGGCTTTGAGTTTGAATGTTGATTGAGAGCCCGGGGTTAGAGTTGAAGCTGTTGCTGGAGCTACTGCTAATGTAGTCGAAGATTCGGTAGTAATCGCTGGACCGCGAGTTTTGGGCTTGGACTTTGGTTGTGGAGCAATAAATTTGGTAGTATCTTCGGAATCAAATTGTGGTATTGAAATAACTTCATCGCGACCATTGCTATCCTGAGGCTTAGGTTTTGGTACCTTCATTGGCTCGACCCATTCAGGTGTCCGCTCGAGCGGACGCACGGCAGTACAGATATGCTTGACAGCCTGAGTTAATGTCTGACCAGTGTTTCTTTGGTAGACCTCGTCCATTTTCTGCCAAAACTCGTCCAAGTTATGCTCAGCTTTCCTCATGCTCTCTGTATTCTGCTTGTTTCTTCGTTTATCCGATGGGTAATGGAAGCGTCCCTCGGCTGGAGATCCGAATTTAGCTAAGCCGGTAGCTTTGAGATGGCGATCCACGCTGGCAAGTAAACTGAGCTGCTTAGGAAACTCCTTCTCAATCTGATCTTTATGCTCTACCAGCGCATTATCGTAACCAGCAGCCCATGGCAGATATATATCCAGTTCATGATAGATCCGCGAGATGAGACCAAGATCAGAAAAGATTCGTGCAACCAAAGCTGAAAATTTTGCTTTCTCGTTTGGATCACGTTCAATCCTACTTTCAATTTCATCTACTAGAGTAGGTAGGGTCATGAGGAAAAGCTGCTGGTCATTCCAGAGACTGTTGAAAAGCCACATCATCTCATCCTGTCCCCCTTTACTCCGAACTTGGATCATTGTAGAACCTGGTACTTGCGGGTCGCGAACGAATTTTGAACGATATGGTGGAGATGCTGGGACTGCCATCTTCAAATTTCGTATTGGGCCTTTCGCCATCTGGTTTAGCGAATATCTCAACGTCAACAATGCCTTCATGTATTCTGGTGGTAATTGCTTTTTTGGTGTAATCTTAGACGCATACTTCTTCTGCAGAAAGGCTAAGTGCTTAAGTTGTTGAGCGACGTTCTCCCATACGATCAAAGCACCATACGCATCGGAGACGACGTTTCCAATGACATATTCCCAGAAAAGTGGTCTATCAAGCGTAGGATGTCGATTTCCAAAGGTGTCGAGTAATTTTTCCTGTCTATGTTCGCTCCAGTCTCCCAGAACTTCGGCAAAATAGCCAGGATCTTCTCTCAAGTCTCGGATATAATCCTCAGCACTAATTCGTCTAGCCTCAACGATGACCTGCAGACGATGGAAATCGAGTTTTGAAGGTAGGCGATAAGGTGCTTCTGCAGCTACGGCTGCAATGGTCGACCAGTCCGAACCATCTGTGAGTAGAGGCGGTTCTGGCTTGATCGATGCTTCGCTGATCAAGGAATCAGAATCAATGTCGTGAAGCAGTGCCTCACAGCACTTCACCAGCAGATGCAGTAGTCTTTGTTGTATTTCCAAGATCATAAGTCCCGATCCTGGTAGGTGTGCAAGGCCAGCGAATGTGTCCATCATAGCATCTTCATCTTCATCCCAAGAAATAAGACGGCCGTAAGTTTTGACTGTTTCTCCCTCAAGCAACATAGTATGAACATTAAGAAAAGCAGGCATAGTAGCAGCACTAACACGGCCGAGCTGCGTGGCTTGAAAATCCGTGTGTGCGAAGACATGAGGTGGATGACGGCCTCTAGAGTTGATTAAAAGGAGAAAGGTTTTCCCTCTAACCAAATCTTCCACGTTGAGATATGGCCATAGATACGCTTCCCTGTACTTTGTGCCCTTTGTTTTCAGCTGACTTCCCTCTTTAATCAATGCCTCAAAATCCGGACGATGAGTCGCAGACATTCCTGGCCATGCTTGTAAAATAATCTTAGATCGATGAACTTTTGATTTCTTCATCCATCGTTTTCGTATGACATCCTCATGCCTCTCCAATATCTGTCTTAGTCTATTCCAATGAGACAACACTTCGGTAGATCGTTCTTTGGCTTCTTTTCGAACCTTTTCTGGAGTAGGTAGAGATGACGGTGCAGGTAAACCTAAAGCTCCATAGTCTCCAGATGTGAATTGCTTCATTTGGTCATCGTCAAGGCGTGGAAGTGATTCTGAAGGTCCTGAGAGCCCGAGAGCTCCAAGATCTCCACTCAAAAATCTGTCAATAACATCTTTTGAGAAAGCCATTTTGTTCGCGTTTTGAGCACGCAATATGAAAGAAGCAAGGCCACTCAGATAAATCTACTCGATCGTTGAATGATTGGAAACACTCGTTTTATTTTTCCGTTTATGATGTGAAGAATATGAATTATGATAGGATTGCAACATGAAAGTCAAATATTTGCATTTTGATCGACTTTATCACAATTTCAAAGTTTGATTGTGTAATGAAAAGTTTGATAGCTGTGGGGTGTTTGCGAGGACACTTCAGCTTTTGGGAAAGAGCCTACAGATGACAAGGCTGGCATATAGTGGGTAAAATTGTGTATTGGTCTAAAAGAGGTAATGGGGGGAATGATCCCTTATATACCCACTTATAATCTATATACGGCAAGTGCACCCCCTTCATCTCCACCTTCCTTCTCCTACCAGAAATCTACAAGTGAAGCTCGAGGAATATGCTCTGTACTAGGTATAACGTAAAAGATACATCACGAGATAATATTCAAATACAACGCGGCCACTACTAGGTTAGACATTATTATTCTTTGCAATATCCCATTTCAAATTCGACGTTAAGTAGGTAACCTACTCTTCACCATTCCGATCTGGAGCAGACTTACCCTTTATACTTCGTACAGATTAGGTCCTATGTGGCACAACAAACCCTCCACTTTCTGTTCTCTTCTCCTGCACTCCAAACAGCTTTGAATATATTCTATGATTCCTTCTCCAATTCATCAAATAACCACATCCGAATTAGTGTAGGGGTTAACATAACTCGCTTTCATTATCACCGGATATAGAACCGAGTAGCCCCGGGTTCGATTCCCGGATTCGGAAATATTTGTTTTACATTTTTTATGTTTATTTACATTTTTTTCACTCTACACAGAAGGAAAGAAAGCATCACCTACCTTGACTCTTTTTTCACTTGCAAATCAATCTCCCTCTCTTTTTGGGCAGCATTTCGAGAATGTGGGGTTGGGAGGGGTAGAGTCACATGAGATGAATAAATATAGTGGAGACGAGAAGAAAGGGAATCTAATTAATACACAGTAACAATAACCGAGACTACCATATCATTTTCTATATTGATGATGACGATGATGACTGATTCAGTTCAAGTGGAGACTAACCAACTACTACAGAGTATGTAGGTAGGTAGATACTTAAGTCATTGATTCCTTGTACCTCCTACATATAGGTAGGTATCGTACATTGTTGCCATCAATCCATCAATCTCGCAATCTAATGCAAAAAGGGACCAAAAGCGATCCACATACCTACCTACCAATCGGCACATATCAAGCCACGATAGAGAATGATTTCTCGGGTTAGATACGAGTAGATTACATTAGATCGACACTAGAAGAATGTAAAACTGGCTACTGCGAGTAGATTCCTTGGCATTACTCTTTGATGTCCCGGTAGCTTCTTTTTCTTATCTGTCCCATGAGTCTTTCACCCACCGAGGCACGCGAGCAATTCCGAGATGATAATGGTTTCGATGCTAAACAATTTGTATCTCACAAGCTATGCTATATACAATCTTATTATACTAATGTATGTTATGCCAAATTTATCCCAACTCCAAAGACAAACAAAATCTATCTGGTATCTCTCTAATAACCAAGACCATACCTAAACTTTGCAATCATATCATATCATATCATATCATAAATCCCAGTGCGAGTTCCAGAATCCAAACTCCTTCCCTTTCGCCCCGTCAGACATTACTATTTCCCCAATGCATCCCCAAGCATCTCGGTAATAGCAATAACCTTTTCCTCTTGAAACCTTCTCCCCACAATCTGCACGCTCACATGCGCACCATCATAAACTTCCGGATCATCTGATGTTCGTTAGCATCTCTCTTTCAAACATGCCAAGATCTTTGTACAAAGACCCAGATAACAAGTCGAGATAAGGAATCAAACATACAGCATTTCCAAACCTTTTCATCCTCTGCATTTAGCGGTTTGTATTCTAGATCGAAAACATCCACATTCTTATCCACCGTTGTAACTGGTAAAATAGCAGCGCTGTAATCAAGAAGATTGACAAATGTCGAATACGCTATGCACTCATGATTAGCTCTGTCTTATCTACTATTGTCGAGAAGAACACATACCAATATAATCAAACGTCATCGTAAGATTCGCAGGCATAGGAGCCAACGGAGTAATAACCGCATCGATAGCTCTGCCAGTACCAGTAAGTGAGACAGTGCTGTTCCAATAGTCCATGTATTCTTTTTGGTATTCGCGTTTTTCGACATTTACGGCGGCGATGTCGAAACCGGTCATTTGAGGTTTGAGAGTACTGTAGTGACCTTGAATTTGAGGGATCATGGGTTCGCCGGAGAGTGCTAGGGCTTCGTGAACTGAAGGTTGTGAGCTTATAGGTTTGAAAGATTGGAATTTTGGAGGGACAAACCGTCTTTTCCTCCGTCAAAAGACCATGCTTTACTCTGGTTGGTTGTTAGAAAGTTTTTTATGTAGATGGAGAGAGAAACTTACTCCTATCGCGCATCCTCTTTGATGAGAAGGTGGTTTCCACTAAAGTTTTGTGATTAGCAATTGTGTATATAAAGAGGGGATGGGTTTCTCATGATTCATAACATTTGGTCATGTTTCCAACTTACTTCGATAACCTTGTGTCCAAGTCTCTTGACAGTATTAACCACGATATCAATAGCTCTACCAACAGGAGGTTGAGGAGCAACCCCTCTATCGCACTTGAAGACTCCGAAAGCCAATTGACCACCGCCGTTAGATTTGATAGTATCAAGAATCATTTGTTCTTGTTCATCACGCCATGGTATTTCACATACTAATGGATCATGTAGCCACGGTTGAGCACTAAGAATGCTCTTCATGACCAATTTCAAAGATCGAGCTGTTGTGGCAATTGGGCCCACAACCGATAAAATAGTATTTTGTCCAGCCAAACTGTTGGCCATACCTTCATAAGGCATTCTACCTGCCGAAGGACGAATGCCATAAAGTCCGTTGAAAGCTGCTGGAATCCGAATGCTTCCTCCAATATCAGTACCAAATCCTACTGGACTACCTCTCAATCCTATCAATGCTCCTTCGCCTCCTGAGCTTCCACCTGGTCCTAAGAGTCTGTTCTTTGGGTTCTCCGTTGTACCCATAATATTGTTGACAGTCTCACCCGCCATGAGTGTTTGAGGAACAGTTGTTTTACAAAACATTATCGCACCAAGACTTCGTAACTCTTTGACCATCTCGCTCTCAAACACTCGCTCTTTTCCTGTACCCTTCTTTCCTTCAAAGGTTCCAATCCAGCCTACATAGCCCATAGTGGTTTCCACACCTCTAACGTGAAACCTAAAGATTTGTGAGAAGCTTGCGTCTATCATAAAGAGCGAACTTACTGGTCTTTCAAGCTGACTGGTAATCCATGTAGTGGACCAATTGGCTTTCTGTGTTCAGCAAAATAATCGTCCAGTTTTTGCGCTTCTGAAATAGCATCATCGAAAAATATTTCATGCAAACAATTAACCTAAATCAATATTAGAATCGCTGTTCAAATTGGAGGTTAAATTGCTGACCAATTGATGCGCCAAAGCTGCCCGGTGACAGAAAGCTTCACAAACTTCTCGTGACTTCCATTCGCCACTGCTAGTTTTCTCTACAATTCCCACAGCATCCGTCTCAGTAATCTCGATCTCTCGGGCAGAAAGAAACTGCTGAATGTAATCGCCCGTTACATCTTTTTGTTCCTCGACCGAGGGTATCGAGTCCAAGCGCCATTTCTCAGGGATCAAACAGTTGACCGATTCACGCTTATTCTTTGCGATGATTTGCCAATCCGAGGTGATTGGATTTGGATGAAGTTGCTGGTTTCCTTCGAAGAATTTCCCGTACCAATACGTCTTGATTTGAGACGCGGTGATAACGAGAGAATGTAAAATGTGTTTGTTCTGAATGTGCCACGATACATCTGATTTTGCTGGTTTGGTCGCCGCCCAAGAACCCATGATAGGCAAGGGCGACTGGCTGTCTGCGTCGCCGCCCATGATAATTTCTCCCATTGTTTTGTGGTCCATGGAAGAAAGAAGATTGAGATTTGTGTTGATAGTACAAAGGGGTGTCGAATTTTTATATGAAATTTTTGCTCCAACTGATAAGGAAATGTAGTGTGTGTGGATTGTTATCAATGCATCGGGTAGACTGTAAATTAGTCGGAAACTATCGCGTGGTGGTGGTGTAAGCATAAAGGGGCTAAATTGAAATTGGCGAATCAACGGTCCGACTTTCGCTCTTGCACTTGTCGCACATTCAAATTGATTCTTTTATCCGTCATGAAATGTGGGAACTTTTTTATGTCCAATTCGAGGTCTGCGAGATAATCCGGGCACGTGCCGGGAATTATCTTTGGAACTCCATGCCAAGCAAATCGAGAATCTTTCTGCATATACAGTACATCGCCAGACCTGAGACGAAGAACTAAATGGTCGTTTTCGGATTTGGGATTGTCCAAGGCGATCATGAATATGCAATCACAACCAAGACTGATGCTAACAAGGCCGCGATCAACACTCTCTGCGCCATCCCGATGTAATTGCAAAGTGTCTCTTGGAGAATAAAAATTGACAATGGCTGCTTGCGGTTCCATATCAGGGAAAAGTCCTTCAACAAGATTCGCAATATCACTTGGAAATTTTGGTGGCTCCTCTTCCGGATATACTTTGTTTGTCCAGTCATATTGCCCTCCAAGAGTGATCCAGCGTAACTTTTTCGTCATGACTTCCAAGTAATTTAATGCTTTTGGGTGTACTGTTGGATCCTTCGGCCTAGCAACAATTGATTCCCCAGAAGCTATTTCACGAGGTGGAAATTTGACATCGTAATGGGCATGTAGATTGGTCATGTGTTTTGGATCCAGAAGATCACGGTGTACTATACGCCGGATCAACTCTTTCTGAACCTCTGGGGGAATGAGAGATGGAAAAACCATGAGACCTAGATCATGATTAGAGGTTGTTTTGCCGGAAGCTATTGAGAATTTTAGGGGAAAGGATGTAGAAAGAAACACGGGTTGGTCTTTTAGATACCACAATTTCTGAGGTGTGTAGAAATGTGAGCATTTTAGTCTTTCAGCCAATTTAATTTTTTTGAATGGACTGAATTTTTAGGTCATTTGCATTTGTGGTAGAAGAAAGAAATTTTGTGATTCCTACCAGGTATAACTTCAGAACCATACGATGAACCTTCTAGTTGTGATCTAGACAAAGGTAACTCATGATCAAGTGGTCCGGTCGAACACCTCTTTTGAGAGGTGCTTAGAGGAGCAGCACCCATGAACTCTTTGAAAGCTATGTTGCGCGCCTCTCTGGGTAGGGATTCTAGATCAATCATTCCAGTGATAGAAGGAGAATCTTCTGTTGCAGTATAAGTAGTCTGTTTACAAAGCTTGAATGCTTCTTTCAAATGCCGGGGAGCACTTTGATGAAGCTCCTTTTGCTCCATCTTGGCCATCGGTGTTATGGTTTGATCTGGAAGGGTATCCCCCATCTTTGCGGTTGTTGGCAGTTCGTCGACGTAGGAAAGTATTTTCCCTGTTGGTCCACCAGGTCAATTTGATAAGATTAGTTGGTCGAAAACCTTCTCCCCTATGAGGTGTTTGACTGGTACAAGGATTGTGAAGTTGTCTTGTGAAGTGTTCCAATCCACGGTTCTGATCTGAATCGAGCTTCTCACGAACGAGGAGAAGTCACTACGTACTGGGCAGTAACCTTCTTAGGTAGGTAGTTGATCGGATCGTGCTTTACCTCCAGAGAAAAAGGCAGAGTAGAGTAGAGCTAGCACCGACAAGGATTATGAATGCAATTTTATATTTTTGTATGTTTTTTTCTTTTCGGCATTACTTATTAGAACCTAGTACAGTCAAGTCAGTACATCGGACCTCGCGTCAAAAACGCGCCCGCTTATTCCGCCTGGCCCTGGGTTACGATTTGTTTAATGTTTTGTTTGGTTGTTTGGTTGTTTAGTTGTTTGCTTATTCTCTTGTTTACTCCTGAGCTTGAGTACGAATAACAGAACGACAATACTAACAATACTATAAACGACTGCGTACAAATTCTTCTTTCTCTTTCTCTTCATCTCACTTCAATTCGAGTCCAAATTCGAGTATCACGAGTATTCCGACACGAAAGATTCTACGGCAACTTAATACAACAACAATCCTTCACCACAACCATCTTCTTATAGCTAATTCGTTACTCTTCCTCTCATTTACGAATCCTTCCAATCTTTGCATAGGTCCATCTTCTTTCAAGATAGATGCTGTTGTTACCATAAACCCAGGATCAATTACCATTCCAAACTGCCCCTCCTTCACCGCCCCACTTCAACGGACAAAAGCAGATTTATTTCAACTTGATTGACCTCGACGTTCTCTAAACCTTTCAACATCAAGTATATTCGACAATGGAGAACTATCAGAAGCTGGAAAAGATTGGAGAGGGTACGTCTTATGCGCGCAAGCTCCCGACCCAAAGAATCATTTCACAGAGTCTATCGCACACTGAATAACGATACATTTATACTAATATTATTCACGCGCAGGTACTTACGGTGTTGTTTACAAAGCCAAGGATCTTTCCCATCCAGGACGTATCGTGGCCCTTAAGAAGATTCGACTCGAGGCAGAAGATGAAGGAGTTCCTAGTACCGCCATTAGAGAAATTTCTCTCCTCAAGGAGATGAATGATCCAAATATTGTTCGACTTCTCAATATTGTTCATGCAGATGGCCATAAATTATACCTCGTCATGGAGTTCCTCGACCTTGATCTTAAGAAATATATGGAATCACTTCCAGTTGCCGAGGGTGGTAGAGGTAGAGCTTTACCGGAAGGATCTGGTCCAGATTTGGGTAGAATGGGTATGGGTGATGCTATGATTAAGAAGTTCATGAGTCAATTGTGCGAAGGTATCCGATATTGTCACGCCCATCGAGTTCTTCACCGAGATTTGAAGCCACAGAACTTGCTCATTGATCGGGAAGGTAATCTCAAGCTTGCAGATTTCGGTCTCGCTCGTGCTTTTGGTGTCCCTCTTCGAACATATACCCACGAGGTTGTTACCTTATGGTATCGTGCTCCTGAAATTCTTCTCGGAGGTCGACAATACTCAACGGGTGTTGATATGTGGTCTGTTGGATGTATTTTCGCGGAGATGTGTACCAGAAAGCCATTGTTTCCAGGTGACTCTGAAATTGACGAGATCTTCAAGATCTTCAAGTAAGACACAACCTTTCAGATTTTTACAATCTACTCGATGGAATTTATGACTATACCTTGAATTTAGCTAACATATCAACAGACTTCTAGGTACACCCAACGATCAAGAATGGCCCGGTGTCAGTGACAAGACCTGTTTCCCCGACTTTAAACCATCTTTCCCCAAGTGGCAACGCGACATGAGCCAACCTCTTTGCACGAATCTTGACGATAACGGACTGGATCTCCTTGAATTGATGCTTGTCTATGATCCAGCTGGACGTATTTCTGCCAAGCAAGCATGTTCACACCCATATTTCGAGGAAGGAAGCGCGGCATACTCCGGACGAGGCGCAAGCTCTACATATAAAACTACAAACGGATACCACTGAGGACTGAAACATACCAATAATTGCATACATTGGATGGTTATGAGTTTGCGATAAGACGAGCTGAGATGATTTATGATATTAAAAACCACGGGAGTGAGGGACACTAAATGGAAGGGAAGAATGGTTGGGGCGGACGAGGAAAATGAATGAATAGAGCTTATAGCTATACATCAAATAGCCATGAGCTTCAGGATAAGAATTGCATGCATGGAGGGGGTTTTATTATGAATGGAGTGGATGGGATACACTGTTATGGCTGACAAGCTACATTTCATTTTCTTTCCCCTTTAATTTATTCCACGTTACTACCCTATGTTTTCTGCGCCTTTTTTGTCCTTTTTTATACCTACACTTTTGCAGTCTTGAGAGACAGACAGACAATTAATGGATGGCGTCTTTCTAGCATGCCTACAGTCCATTTTTTATGCTGTAGTTGTATTCAAAGAACAAAATAAACACCTTTAGATTGGGTTTGAGGATATGTGACTGAGATGTGATTGATATTTTTCAGTGTGTTATTTGCGATCTTTATTGCAAAATAAAATCAGTATTACCTTTTTCCAGTCTTGAATGATAAACCATCTATTTATTCGACCATCTAGAGTTCCCAAACGCCTCGCTTATTCACTACCTCTTTGAATCTTCATTTCTATTTCACTATATCTTTGCATCTCATCTTTGTAATCTCAATCTTTTTCCCTCTTCTTTCCCTTCCTTTTCTTTCAATCCCAACTCATCTATTTGTCACCCTTCCTCCAACCTTTAATTTCCATCTCCCCTCTATTTCACTCTTCCCCGCCTCTCCCCCCAACAACCAGCATACCTCTTCTCCACCCCCCAATTCTCCCTCGCCAAACTCCCCCTCGCAACCTCAATATCCATCTCGATATCCCGAACCAAAGACTCCTTATCCACATAATCCAGCTCCGGACGAATATACCCCAGAATCTCGACGCGCATGTGGCTCCCGTAGAAATCGTGGGAAAACTTGTGCAGCAGGTGTACTTCGGCGGAGCGCACCGTGTTGCGGTAGAAGGGGTTGTAGCCGATGGACATTACCATGGGGTAGAGGCGGGTGGTTTGGGAGGTGGGAGGGGTGGATGGGGAGGGGGTTTGGAGTTCGGGGTGCGTGGGTGGGAGGTCCAGGGCGGCGTGGCCGAAGTAGACGCCTGAGGGGGCGGTGTCGATCCAGGGGACGTTTGTGACGGGGATGTTGGCGGTGGGGATTCCGAGCTGGGGAGTTGTTAGGTTGGTGGGTTGGGGAGGTTGTGGATGTGGATGTGGATGTGGATGTGGATGTGGATGTGGATGGGGGGGAGAGGAAGAGTGAGAGTGAGAAGGAATGGATAGGAATGGATAGGAAGTGGGGGGAAGTGGAGAGAAGAGAAGGAGGGGAAAACATAGGACCTTACTTCTTTAGATCCGCGACCAAAACCAGAAACCACCTCCCCTTCCATTCGTAACGGATAGGGAGATTCGGGACCGCTTTCCGAACCGACAATTAGAGGGCGGGGTTCTTTGGTCGGCATTGTAGAGGTGAAGGTAGAAGTAGAGATTGGAGCAGTGCGCTTTGGATTGTATTGGATTGGTGTGTGAGAGATTCTGGGTAGAGAAAGTATATATGAATGAGTGATGTTTGTGAATGAGGAATGACTGACTGATTGATTGAGTGAGTGATCGATTATCATTCAATACCTATTTAGTACTGGATGGCGAATGGTGGGGTGGAATAGAACGATATACTAAGCAAGGCTATACTACCTACCAGCCCAGCCTACCTACACAGAATGTCTTATCTCATGGCGAACTGGGGGTACGGCTGATATTACGCCTTGTGCGCCTTGTTGAGCTTTTCTTTCTCGATAAGTAACCTACTCTACCTAATAAAATAAGTAGGGTAGGTTGGTAATAAAGTAAAGTATAATAAATTCATCGCAGTCTTGCTTGACATTACCATCAAATATACCTACTACCTAGCTACCTACTTCCTAATAATTCACAAAAGTCGCAATCGTAAAATCTAGATCAATGACGCTCCGCTGGGCCACTGCCGTGGAGGCTTTTTCGCTTCGCTCTATGATAGGTTGTAAGACTTATATTCATGTACCGGTGGTCAATCGTTCTGTCTAGACGCTAGATGCATAGAGTGTAAGTATAGAAGTTCCGAATCGATCTAAAATGTACTATATTACCACCATACTTACTATTTAGATACCTACTACTGGTGTACCTAAAGCTTAATCGGAGAAAAGTTTGTCTTTGACATTTCCTTCTCTCTCGCGTCTGTTCGGTTGTGTTGTACATGTACAATAGGTACACACAAGATGGGTACGAAGGGAGGAAATATTAGGTATGATGTGAAGTGGAAGTTTGGTTGAGTATGAGTAAGTAGAGGTACGACTACAAATCCAAACCTACAAAAATCGTCTTTCGCAAAGCAAACAAGCTCCTCATCCACACGTATGTAATCCAAACCCCGAAAGTCTCCTTTCCACGTGGCAACGGCTATCGACAGTCCCTTTGTACCTTTGTACCTTGCTTCAAACGGCTTGTAATCTGACATACAGCGTACACAGATACTTCACAGTAGGTATCTCTTTGTATCCACAGGACATATCTCCACTCCATCTAGATCTCTGTATCTCTGTATCTCTGCCTCCCGAGGTCTTTACATGCATCCTCCCTTTCCGCACAAACAAAGTTGCGAGGGCTGGAATATCGATTAGATCTATCGTAGCGAGCGACTCTATATAATCTTACATACCTACCTAGTATCTAGACGGAGTAGTAGAACTACTCTATATTATTTACAGTCCAGTACAGTATAGCACCATACCCATTTTCATCACAGCCCAATAAATACATCTCCAATAAATTTCACGCATGAAACAAAATGAAACATCCAAACTCCCTCCGAAGCAAGTACCACGAAGGTCTACGAAGGTGGGTAGTTGATTGCGACACATCCAAAAATACCTACATGAGAAATTTCAAGTGGCTGGGAAAGCAACGCGGTGACGTGAAGGGGAGGGAAGTGAAGTGTAACCTAACCGGTGATGGATGGGTTGTCAATGTCTATACTTGGGTAGGTATTTACTAGGTATTTAACCTTATTATTTCGGAGAAATGTAAAAGTGTAAGGACTAGGTGGACAATGAGTATTCATCTTGTATTCTTATTCTTATTTATTGTTATTTGTTATATATTCATTATATTATCACCATATATGAATATAAATATAAATATAAATATAAATATAAACATAAACATATAAGTCCAAGTATTTCTCTACAATACATACAAAAAAAAAGATATTCCCAACCCCCCATGTAATCCACGAGCTAGCTAGCTACCTATCTAATATCTACCAACCCAATACCATATCCATCCTCCATCCATACATACGCGCTTACCCATCCCATCCCAATGCTCCCCATCATCCAACCCTCCCCGCCTCTCAATTTTCCCAACCCCAAGCAATTTGCAAAAAGCGACCAAAAAAAAAATGTAGATGGCAGGACAACCCAGGTGTGACAAGATACAAGAACCTCTCCATCCAATTCTGTTTTCCTTCTCTCTTCTCTCTTTTTGATTCTTTTCTTCCATTCCATTTCTCACTTACCGTACCTATACAATCCATCCATCCATACATACTCAAGAAACGAAACGAAACGAAACTTACTATCATTCCGAACCGCATTCCTCGGGGTTTATCATATCACTCACTCTTCACTATCTATCTGATTCTGATTCTGATTCTGATTCTCTTATCAGTTCAGATCATAACCATCGCATTACCGGTATTTATTTACTTATTTACTTGCTACAAACTCGCCATCTACACCGATAGTATCATAATATCAAACCATCCATCTATCAAATCATCTATCATCAGATCATCCCCAGCCTCGTCCAAATAATTGACCGAGTAGAATTGAGATATCCAGGTACGTGTAAAAACAACAATCAGAATACACTTCTTGGTATTGCATCAGCATTTTGCGAGAATATAAAATTAACATCGCATCCTAGATTTCTTTCTGTATCTAAATCTACATTCATATTCACATTCACATTTCATCACATCTAAACTCATCACATCTCATCTCACTCTACCAATCTATTCACCAAATTCACCACACTCAACTTCCACATTAACCACCTCTCACCGCTCACCACCAACCCCAACCCCCCACACCACCGCCAAAATGCAAGAAAACACCGTCATCGCCATAATCATCATCATCCTCTTCCTAATCCTCGCCCTCATCGCCTACGGCATCTACAGACTCGTCCAGCAAGCCCGCGGCGGCTCCTCGACCATCTCTGGTAGCTCAGGGAGTTCGGGAAGTTTGGCTGATGATTAGATTTTTTTTTTCTTTTCCTTTTTTCTTTTTTTCCTTTTTTCCGAATTTGGGAAGGGGGAGAGGAGAGAGGAAGGATGGATGGGATGTTGGAGTGCAAATGCGAGAGAAAGAGAAGTGTGGAGGAGGAGAAAGTTCCATCCATCTTCATGCTTTTTTCTTTGGATTGTGCGGCGTAGGTTGTCGGAAATATACCTATGCATGCAATGCATACATGCGCATGGAAATCACGGATGAATGAATGCGTTAAGTGGAATACAGGAAGCGAATCATGGAAATGATGGGGCTTTCATTCCTTCACACATTCATTCATACGTACGCATCTTCTCTCCACAACTCCATTCAATCGAGAGAGATGAACGGATGGATGGACAAATGGATATTAAGAGCGATCACTCAATACTCAATACTCAATACTCAATCATCAAAGATCAACGATACGATACGATATGATGCGATGGAAATAAGAATTAGAAATTTACTTACTCGGAACGGAACGGTACGGTACGGTGGTAACAAAACTCAAGATTAGGAAAAGGCGGAAAAAGATTGGCGGGGCGAATGGGCGGCAGGAAGGAAGGAATGAAGGGATGAACGATATGTATGATTCACGATACGATACGATAAGATACGATACGAGCGAGATGGGATGGGATGGAATGGGATGTAGATGGGATGGAAACGGAAATGACTTTTTTAGATTACGAGAGGAAAGAAGGGGCCGGGGATGGTTGATCGCACGTGTGTGTGTGTATGTATGTATATATATTTTAGCAGCATGGCATGGCCTACCTAGGTGGGTAAGGTAGCAGCATTGGAGTTTTCGGTTTTGAGGTTTGGATTTGAGGTTTGGATTGGGATTGGATATACCACGCCACCATTATTATGAACATCATCATTATCATGATCAATACAATGAAAAATACAATTCAAGATACGATTCACAATACAATTCCAAAATCCAATTCAAAATCCAAGTCAAAATCCAATTCAAAATCCAATTCAAAGTCCAATTCAAAATCCAATTCAAAATGAAAATCAATTACTACACATACATACATACATATATTGAATACTCCCGAGTGCCTCTCTACATTACCTAAATGCTTACCGGTATATGCTTTAATTTTTCCTCTCTCCCCTCTCTCCCTCTCCCTCTCTCCCCTCTCTCCCCTCTCTCCCCTCTCTCCCCTCTTCATTATGAATTATGAATAGAATTCCTAAAGCAAAAATTAATATTTCATTATTATCATCATCATCATCATCATCATCAAAATCTATTCAGGTCAATAGGATAGGTAGGTAGGTAGGTAGGTATGTGCAAAAACAATAAAATATGGTATCATTCTCATTCTCGTTCTCATCCCCATCCACATCCCATCCACATCTCCAATCAATCAACCGATCAATCTCATAATACCTTCCTCCCCCTCCCCCATTGCAATAACAACAACAATATCATCATCATCATCATCATCATCCGTTACCTCTACCTCTGTCTCTGCCTCATATCAAATAATCCCATTCTAAATACAAATGTATTCCCCTTCCCCAGTCTGAAACCCACACACCCTACCCACCAGTACCTCTCACCCTCTCCCCTCTCCCTTTATTTTATCATCCTCTGCCTCACCCTATCCCTAGCCCCACATTCTCTTCTCTCACTCTTATACCCATATCATATACCACATCATATCATGCATGCATTGCATTACATGCAGCCATCCCAAAACCCCATTGAATTCCAACCCATAAAAGTTCATTTATCCATCCATCCATCCATCCCTTCCCAGAACCCCTTCAAAAATTTCCCAAAATCCATGCCCAAAACATATGCAATGCAATGCTCATTCCACTTACCCCTCCAAAGATGAAAATGATATGGATACGAATATAAATGTACGAGTACTAAAATTCCGAAAAGAAACCCCCCTTGTGAAACCTTCACAAGCGAAGCACTGCTCCACTCTATGAAATCTTCTTCTCATCTCATCAATCCATCTTCCCTAAAAGGGGTATATAAGATCCAGTGCAAATGCATATTTCAGGTTCCCAATCCCATTCATGATCCAGTAAAAATCCCCATTATATCCAAGACCTTTCGTCTCAAAAACGAATTCATAAAGACTAGCGCCAGTTTTTGCCTTGACCCCTTATGCATGAACACAAACAAACCAAGCAATGAAAAGAAGCCGTGAAGAAGGAAGGGAGGTATTAAGTTGGTGATATGTATGGAGACCGGAAGTTATCGTATGCATCGTATCGACCGAGAGTGGCGTTATCGTGACGAGGAAGAAGGACAAGGTGGTGTAGAATAATATATAAGTAGAATCTAGATGCAAGGAAGGAACTATAAATCATTAGCTTTCATCTCATGAATATTTTCCAGTTCACCCCCTTTCGAAAAGAATAATACTCACATTCATGACAATTAACATGGGAATATCAAAGACATCCCTCTTAATTGTCCAACAAGAACTACAATCCACCTTTCCATCCTGTTGTAACGTCTCAATTCCATTGTTCGCATCAATCTCCTTGATCCTATTACCCATTCCTCCAATACCAGCCCCATTAAATCCAACAATATCTTTTCGCTTTCCCTTATCACCTTCAGGAGATTGAGAGGTATCTTTTGCCGTTTGATATCTAAGAAGCTTATAACGAGTCGTAACACTTCCTCTACTGTCTCCAAATGCCAATCGTGCAAAATCTTCATAGAATTCAATGACGCTGTCATCGTCTAACAATTCCGCGAGGAAGATGGGTTGAGTTTTACCACTCGGGTTCGAGTCAGCAAGGTTGAGGGGTCGCATTCTAGGAGTTGTAAAACTTCCTCGACCTGAACTTCCTGATGATGGAGGACCACTACTTCCTGTATTGGTGTTAAGGTTTGCTTCATTCCCTAAAAGGACTTCTTTCCTCCATCCAGTCAAAAGTGTGAATTCTTTATTAGCAGCAGCAATTTCCCCAGTCCTACGACAGACCACTGTTGGCGTGCAGCAATTCAGCATGAAATCTTCATACTCAAATAAAGTTCTTTGAAAACATTTCTCCATGAATATTAAATCTTGTCGATTGAGGGTTTTTGTACAAGAGATGAAGGATGGTCTAATGGAAGCGAGTGATTTGGCTATCCGAAGTGTCTTGTTTGGCGAGAATCGTTTTTGAATAAAAGCAGTCAAGCTATGGAAACCGGTAGTATACGAATAAGGTTCATGGACTGTATCGTAAATAGATGAAGGATCCCGATTCCTCTTTCCAAGTATACCCGATGGCCCAAGCTTGCCAGATGGTCCTGATTTCGTATCTTGTCGTTTAGCTGGCCTATGAGTTGCCGGTGCTGGATAATTAGTAGTGGTAGGTGAGCTCTCAAATCCCATTGTACTTGCCGCAGGACTCGCATCAGTGCTAGGACTGTGTTGACTACCACCAGCGGCAATTGCGTATGCATGAGGTAAACCATGATGTAGGTTATTATTGCCAAAGACATTTCCTCCATTCGGTCTGTCCAAGCCCACAGCAAAATCCGGTAACGTATCGTGAGGATAAATTTGATTAAAGGGTGGATTATTAGTGAAAGCCGAATTGTTATTGAAGCCGAGATCGCCAACATTCTGTGGCATTCCTGTATTTGAATCTTGTGGTGGTGTTTCTGCTGAGCCTGATGCCATATGCCCTAGCATTCCAAATTCTAACGCTCCATAATGATTTCCGAAATTCAACCCTTCTAAATCAAAGTTGAATAGTGCTGGATTACTGGGATCGAAAAATGCACCACCTCCAAATGCGGAATGAGAATCGTTTGAAACTTGCGGTAGGGAGATTCCTTGCAGCCCAGCTGGCCGATTCCCTGCTGTATGAAAAGTTGGAGATATCGGTGATGGCTGATTGCTTCCAAAAGAAAGTCGATTTTGCAAGGGCGGTGGCATTTGACCTTGTTGATTGGCTCCAAAAAGCGGATAAGATGGTGAAGTATCAGGCTGAGAGAAAAAGTTCCCCATACCAGGAGAAGGTTCTGTTGGTGTTGATGCGGCAGTGGCTCGATTATTGCTCACTTGTTGATTATAAGTTGGCCCCAAAACAGGTCTAAGAGCTTCTGGGGGTGCATCGTGGAGATACTTTGCTTTCTTTCTGACACCATCCTGGCAAGCATCCGCTAAACCTCGTTTTATACAACGTTGACATGGACGCTCGTCCCCTATTGAATTCATTTTCAGCACATGTAGCAAATTTCATTGAAAATTTAGAAAATCTAGATGAAAATAAAAAACAAAACAACAAATTGTAAGGCTCTGGGCACGAAAAAGAGCCCAAAACTGAAACCTTGATGAAAACAAACATACCACAAGTTAAATGGGCTCGTTGACAAGCAAAACAAGCTCTTCTTGCCTTCTTTCTTCTAGGTCTCAAGGGATCTTTAGGATCGAATTTTGGTTTTGTAACTGTAGCCGTTGCTCCTACAGTATTTCCATTCTCCTCGCCGTCCGGTCTTACTTTTTGTTCCGCCATTTCTTGATTATCGTCCTCTTTTCCTACAACATCAAGCTCTTGCTCATGATCACTATAATCGTTCTCCGAAGCGCCATCCGAAACCTCAGGATCATCTATTTCAGTTTCTCCCGACATCCTGTCTTAAATACCTCACTTGGTACTTGTGCAGAAGCTAGTTCGTTTTTGCGACACCACACTCCAATCAATAGAAGCCCCAGTCAACCTCCCTCGCCAATCCTTGAACAGGAGCCCTGCTGCAGCAGCCTCGTCACACAACCAAGGCAACACAGGATGGTGCCGTGAACCGCCCGTCCAGCAACAATGCACAATGACCTTGTTTCCTCACTCCCACACTTCCAGCGCACACTTCTACCACCTTCTTGCGTCTGCGAGCAATCTTAATGCTACAAAGGGTAAACCTAGCGATACTCCGAAATAAATTCTTGCCGCAAAGTAAGTACCCGCGCCTTTTCAATCCCTTACCACGTTTCGCCGCGTGCCTATCCGAACACCAACACGCGTTCGCATGCACCGCTCTTTGACCGGCCTTAAATCCTCTCTTTCCGTAAATCCTTCCCAGAAACCAGGTAGGTTTGCCCGACTCGGCCGCTCCGTATTTTCTCGTAATTTCCTTGGATCCCAAATCTCACCCTTTTGTCTTGTTCTCTGTTCGACAATCTTGCTTTCGATTCTTTTCGATTCTTGTTCTTTCCTTGCAGCCAATCCAAAACCTAGTCTCTTCGTAAAGCACTACATCCACACATGTATAGTCACGCGGAGAACCTACTCCTTCAACCAAGCCTCCTCTCTCGTGCTGGAGAGAATGCGCAAATGTAATAATCGAATGCTGTGTTACTGTATGGTGCTGCAAGTATCCGCGAGCTAGTCCCACCGCAATCGCATTGATGCCCAAATAAAATGCCTTCCACTACTGATGCAATTGAAATATCCTTTCCCTTTTTGCGTATCACTTCAAAATCGATATATTGGAAATGGATATATTCGCCGTCCTTTGTTTTCTCGATCGGTCAGGGTATTTGGGGGTTTCTTTCCTTTTCAATTGGAACCTATATAGCTTTTTTGCCTCTCTCTTCTTTGGATCTTTCGCCTCGTATGGAAGAGATTTCAAACTGTTTCAGATCAGGACGGCGAGGGTTCGATGAATTGCGAATTGAAATTGCACTTATCTTCTGTGCAATGGCGGATGAAAGGATTTGGGAAGAAGAGGTGGTGGGTAAATGGGTGTGAGTGGGTGAGTTTGGGTGGGTAGAAACGGGTAAGCTGAGAGAGTAGGATATCAATTGGTTTTCCCAGAGTTGGATTTTGAAATTTGAAACTTGATTTTTTTGATTGTTTGATTGACTGATTGACTGATTGATTGACTGAACAAACAAATTACCTTTCCAAATGGTAAATCAATAGAAGATCTTTGTACTCAATTGAATGATATAGAGTATCACCCAAATTTATTCCTTTCAAGCTTAAACGCCGCGTGGCAGGAACGAGGTTTGTTGTTGCGACCGTCTTCTTGTATTATTGTATGATTGCGCGGGGAAAATTTTAGTGATGTTCAACAGATTAAGCAAAAGCAAAAAGAAGCTTTTCCTAAAGAGATCAAAGTGGAGAGTGGAGTGAAGTGGATTATTAAACGGTAAATTATGATAAATTATATTATAAAGCCACAATTGACACAGCCACATTTTGAATGCTCCCGAGGTCAATATGGATTCATCATCCGCAGTAATATTTATCCAGTCCACGTATCTAGATAGTATCGATAGACTTTTTAATATATATATACATATATACATATAGCAATAGATATAATTGTCCAATATCATCATCATCATCAGATATTAATATTAATTTATAAAACACAAACAATCAACCATTGAACTCGAATATGATGAGTATGACAAGGACTTTATTAAATCCTTTAGTTTAGCTTGCTCCCAGTTACCTAGATACTTCACTCATATTAATCCATTACCTAATATATAAAGATTACACATCATGCACTCACTTACCTTTCACATACCATTCAACACCTCTTCTAATCAAATCACATCATATAATACCAGTAAATCATCCACAATTCTTTCGCTCTCACTAACCGGACATCCCATCTCTATCTCGAGCGCAGCGAGCTAAGGGGGTTTGGGGGCTTGCCCCCATCATCAATAGCTTCATCAACAAAAACGATTCGGTCATTATAAGTCTATTAAATGACGCTTCGCTGACCCTCCGGGGGCCACTGCCGTGGAGGCAGACTAGATATTATTATTTTCCCTCCTTTGAACTCCCTCGAGTTTTCTACTATTAGCCGGTAACAACAACTACTACCTACCTATTACTTGCTACATTGCATATGCATCCATACATATACATAATACATAATACACACACCAAATACTATATAATACATTAACCCGCAGCAAACCAAAATAACCTGTCCTACACTCCCAACCAATCTCCAGCATCCCACTCAAGCAAACTCACCACCCATCCCCCATCACAAAACGTTCATGAGAAACAAGCCGACTGACTCGCTTACCTTACATACATACCTGGGTATATCGTGTTGTACCATCCTGTACGTACCTACTGTATTGTATTGTATCCCACTCACCGACTGACTACTAACTGAATGACAGACTGACACCATTCATCTCGATCCTCCATCTATCCATCTATCCATCCATCGTGTCTCACCCCCCCTTCATCTACCAGCTACCACGTATTCTGCATCTTGGCTCTAAAAGTCCTAGTCCTAGTCACTCACCACCCACCCACTCACTCACTCGATCCTCCCTTACACACAATCTGTATTCATTTCATCCATACATGCATGCACATTTATCCATCCAACCAACCAGCCATCCATCCATTCATTTCCACCAAACAGAATCCGTTCCGTCCCAATGGTTTCTGGAGTTTCCGGGGATACACATCCCATCCATCACTCTCCCAGACCCCCGTATCAAAAGAGAAACACAACCCTCAAATCCCCATCCCCAATCCCAATTCCTTTTTCCCTTTTTCCCACTTGTGTCTTCATACCGACCTACCTACCCAGTAGACTCTAGCTGCAGATAGAAAGACGGGACTACCGCAAGAGAATAATAACACTATTTCCATCCATCCATCAACCTCTCCAATCTAAATCCAATCCAAACCAGAACCAGAACCAAAATCCAAATCCCATTCACTCATCACATATCCTCTCCTCCCCCTCCCCCTCCTCCTCCTCCTCCTCCTCACATCCACACATACCAATACAACAAACACAACAAACACAACAAAACACAACAAAATACAATACATCACTCTCTCTACACTCTACACTACACTCTACACCATAAAATAAAATACATCACAATCCCCCTCCCCCCCAAATTCCTACAGATATATGCACTCGCACTCGCACTCACCCTCACACTCCCATCCATCTCACCCACACCTCATCTCACCTCACCTCGAGAGTCAATACGTTGTAACACATACACATATACACATACACACATACACATACACATCAGCTAACCAAGGTAAGATACATGATATATTAAGTCATGGAACCAGGGAGCCACCATCTGGAATCTCCCGTATTTCGTATTTCGTATCTCATTACTTGTCCACCTATCCATCCACCCATCTTTCTCCTAGTAAACAAACCCCAAACAAACAAACAAACCAAACCCAAAGAAAATTCTCCAAAATACTTACTAGGTAAGGTACGTAGGTACCATCCATCCATCCATCCATCCATCTAGAACTAGAGATCCTAAAATAGCGCATAGATACCTAGTATCCGTAACCAACTAGCTAACCAACTACCTACCTACCCACCCACCTAGCCACCTAGCCACCTAGCCAGCCTCCATACATTTCAAATTCTTATCGTATGTGTGTATTTCTCATCTGGGGGGTTGTTGGAGAAATTGTAGAGATCTAGATACCTAGGTAGTGTTTTGAATGAATGAATTGAATGAATAAATTGATCGATCTGGGGGTATATACTATACAAATGCCAATTATGCTCCGTCCATCTGCTAGGTAGTCTCTAGATATAGGTAGATAGATAGATAGATAGATAGACAGGTAAATACCTAGATACCTACCTCCCTAGGTAAACATAAACCAAGCAACCAAGCAACCAATAACGTAAACGTCAATATCAACGTAAACGTAAACGTTAACTCACAACGTCATTTTAAATTAATAGAACAAGAAAAAATAAGAAAAAACAAATAAAATAAAATCAAGACCAAAACCCATTTCTCCCTTCCATTCTTTTTCCCAAAACTCCATTCACCCATGCAATGCACACATACAATGCAAATGAACTAACCCAATCGCTAGAAATTGTTCAAAAAAAAACTTTCTGTACTTCCTCAAAAGCTCCAATGAGTATGAGCCCATGTTCATATTTTATATTAACTGCGGTTGCATGTATTGCTGAAGAGACACATCACGCGGTAGCAAAACGACTATGCCCCCTGATGGTCTTCCCGTATTTAAAGAAGAGGTAGGGGAAAGGCGTCATGGCCAGCGTCAAAAACGCCAGGAGACTGGTTGCCCATTGATCGCCGAGCTTGTGATACATTTGGATCCCAAAGAGCGGAAAGATAGCTAGTGGAATTGGTTCAGCCTTTGTTTTTGTTTTTATTCTCCTCGCGTACATATAAGACATTTATGGGTATGTGGCCGATGTATCTCAAATCGATGGGGGAGAGGGGGAATAGGACTAACCTCCGAAACTACTTCTCATGAAACTATTCGCTGCTAGAGCGCTGGCTGCATACAAGGGATATGCATCGACCAGGAATGTAAAGATGCCAGTAAAGACAAGAATGGTTCTGCATGAATCCCAGCCGGTTAGCTACTTTTCCAAGTGTATCGTTTGGTACCACATCAAGTGCGTGTCATGTGAGACATCTCGAGTCTTCTTTCTCACCAGAGCATGAAATAGAGTGAAGATTCAGCATCACATTTCCCCAAATAGGAACAGATGTGCAAAACATGAAATGACAAGATCAACTTCATCTCCATGCAGGAACCAAGCATCCATGATGCAAGCGCCACTTCGGCGATGGAACATACATGGTTCGGGGACCTAACTGCAAAGCGAGAGACACACGAGAGGGCATCACGAATGGTGAAGAAATTTCACAAGAGGGGAAAAAAAACCAGACGTACCCCATTCCGAAAATACCAGATCCAATGATTGGGAAAACCCAATGAACAGATGAATATGTTGTCCACGCAAAGAGAAATAAGCCGATAGGAACGAGACAAGCTCCTAGAATAGCTGGAGGTAGGCGATATTCAGGTTCGGACCCACCAATTTCGCCCGTCATTTCTTCTCGCTGATTGATCAGTCTTACATAGTTCTTATGCCAGAAAGGGTCAGTAGCCGCTGCGATTAGCATCCCGATGAACAAGCCTAGGAAGGTCAATCCAACTTGATATTGTTGGAATCCGTGTTTACCCTCAAAGACGAGAGGAAAGGCGCCAAAGAATAAGTAGAGGATACCGAGCAAGATAGCCGAGAATATGCAAAGACTGAGGCACATGGGCTCAAAGATTAACAATTGACCGGGTCTGAGTAGGGAAATACCAATGGTCTTTGGAATAGACTTGTTGAGTCTCTCATTAGGTGCAAACCAACGATCATCGCCAGTCTCCTTTCGCATCTTACGAGCTTTGGCCTTCAAGACAACCGGATGGTAAGTTTCTGGGACGAGAGAAAAGATCAATGTCAAGTTGCACGCTGACCAGATGATCAGAACGTAGAATGTCCAACGCCATGACGAAAATTGGTTAATGAATCCAGAGATCAGTGGACCAAATGATGGACCGATGAACGGCGATGCTGTATAGAGTAGCATAGGACCTTGAAGTTGTTCTCGATTGAATAAGTCTCCCACTGTGCCTCCTGCGACAGACAGAAAAGCACTTCCGGAAAGACCAGCAAAGAATCTCGCTACGAGCATCGTCTGAATATTTTGCGCCACAGCCGAAGGAATAAGCCATATTAAGAAGAAAGAAAAGGAGCAAAGATATATCGGACGACGACCGTAGAATTCACTATTGATGTCAGTAAGTACCCTCGCACCTAAATTGAAGCAGAGATATCGAATAGAATGCTTACGAAAGAGGTCCGAGCAACATGGGTCCCAGACCAAGTCCAAGGATAAACATAGAAAGTCCAAGGGTAGCGACTTCTCGAGAGCAATTGAATTCCTCCTCTATCTGGGTGTATGTACTGGTATACATTGATGATGCACATGTACTAATATGCAAGTCAGATTAGTATGGGTAATATTCCACGTTTTTCGTTATTTAGCTGCACCATCCATAACGGGTCATCGTGCCGAAAAGGTAGGTGAAGTTTGATATCAACCAAGGTTCCCAGATGAACCCCATGTGAAAGTCCCAAGGTAGAGAGTACCAATTCAAGCGAGGAAAACATGATAACAGATGGGATGAACTTACACACAAAAAGAACTTGCGCTAACGATAATAACCACCAACCACTTTCTCCCATGAGCCATACTTCTCGGACACATGGGATCACTATCACCACCATCAAACTTCACCTCGAAAGGATCTCTCTCATCTCCTTCTCCTTCGAAATCCCCTGCAGGATTGTCCGGATCGTCGCAACCATATCCGTTGGAAGAACGCCTTCGTGCTAGTGAAATGGATCGACTTAGTTTCTTGTCCCATGTCGGAACGGGTGTATCTGGAGGTGAGATTACGATGGGTGCGAATTCCTTGTCAAATTCGGTTGGAGCATGTGAGAGTTCCGAAGGCGAGATGGGAAGTTTCTCGAAATCGAGTTCTTGGATGGAGGACATGATGAGATGAGTATGAAGTGTTGTCGTTGATTGGAGAGGAGAGGAGAGGAGTGAATCAATGAATTGTTTGTGAGAAATAGGAGGGGATGTGAAGTTGCGATTGTGGTATCAAGATCTTGAAAAGATGATAGCTATATCAATTCATTGTTCAGACGGATGAATTCATACAGGTCGGTAGGTTGGATGAGTATATTGTTGTACACACTCATTCCCTCTGGTTGAAAGATATACTCGGGGTGCAAGATGGCATCGGGTCTTGATATATAAATGTTCATGAGAAAGTAAAAAAAATATGGTTAGTGGATAATAAATAGCTATATAACCTTAATCCAAAGCTTTTACAGCTTCCCCTGTCGTTTTTAAGATGGTAGGTACCTAGTAAGTAGGTAGGGATTAATCAGCAAATCTCAACTTTGTCATTGTCATAAGATTGTCATGAGGAGATTGGATTCTCTTTGTTGATTGTTCCTTACCTACCTGGTATTAAAAGAAAATTCGCCGTCGAAATGGGGATTTTGCTCATAATGAGGAGAAAGTGGGGGGGTGGATGTTGCGGAGTTCGCGGGAGTAAACTCGGCACTTCAGAATGGAATGGCATAATGGCATAATGGCATTGTAACGGCATCCATTGTTATATCATTCTTCAATGATTTCAGATGCCTGCCAAGATTTGGACTTGTCATGTTCTTGCGGTGATTCTTGCGGTGAAGAAGATGATTGAAAGAATAGGATGAATACGAATCGAAGTTTCTTCATCTCTTCACCCCTTCACCCCTTCACCCCTTCATTTCAAACTTCACCGTTATTCGGCATCTGATATCAACCCACTCATCCTTTCACCGATTCCATGATATATCAGTTACATATCTGATCCAGACTGTATTCAAACTTCTCTCAATCCGCACATCTCCCGAGCTCCCGAATTTTCCCCAGACAGCCTCGAGGCAGGTTCAGAATGATCTATCTCAATACCAGACCGTTTTGCTGCCTTAATCTGTTGCATATGTTTTTACGCCATTTCATCATCTCTCCATCTAGCCCCTGCGTGCTTGTCGGCCCGGTTCATAAACGCCGACGATCCCCCATTATCGTTTGAATATTTATCCTCCTTGGCGTTAGTGTCAACACTGCACATTGCACAGTAAGCATTGTCATGAGGGGTTTCGTATCATCACAACTCAGTGTCGTTATACTTTAACGCCGGTAGCTAACAATCAACGCACTTAATGGCTGACCCTTCCCCGTTGAGTCGGGGAAATTAAGTGTCTCTGGAAAGCAGACGTCCTTGATCAATCAACATCCAGATAATGCGTTTGGCTTTGGAGTTATTGTGGAAAGTTCAATATCTTCATGCTATCTTACCCTTGCTGAATTCAATAGTATAATACTTCGTCAAATCATACATGAATTGGTTGTTGTGTGGTAGAAAAAAGCTTTTCTATGTTGATCTGTTGGGATGATACATTTCCTATCAAAAATACTAGCGGAGGCACTTATTTGCTTTCCGGGGAAACTTACTTTCCCCAACTTAAAAATAGGTAGTCGGCGTTCAAAAGGCCGACTATTAGTTGCTCATGGTTCTTGTTGCTTTTCTGGTGATTGATATTCCTCTTGAGCCTGTGCGCCATGGGAGAACGTCAATGTCTTAGATTCGGTAGTTAGTACTGGGTCTATGCGGAGTGCATATATGACATGCGGCGAGACATCACTCTGTATTCGGGAGTCCGTAAAATCAAACATTCATGCTTAATTTTTCAGAGCGAGCTTCACTTTGCTTATGCCATGAGATATCATTTGTTCACATCCAAGTGCTTTAGTAGATACAGAGAAAGTGATGAGGAAGAATCAGAATAAAGCAAATGTAGTTTCAATTGCAAAGAGGTGGTATCTATTACGAATATCTTGTTATTCTGAATCCATTCCCAAAATACGTAAAGAGCGTGTTCTCGTTCAGTCCTCTCAACTCATCCATCATTTTCCTTATCACAATTACTCAACCTCATCCTTGCCACTTGAATCTACTCTCCCTAAACATTCCCACCATCCCAGTCGGAAGTAATCCCTTCTCTACAACATTTATCCCCCCAAACCTCTCCTCCATATCTGCTCCATAAAGCTGCAAAATCCACTTCTGATAATTCGTCATCCCTCTCGTCTGCCATTTGCCCCCCTGCACCACTCTTCCCACCATGATATCAACCGCGCACTCCGTTGGTTCATCCATCAGCTGAACATACGCATAGTGCAGCGCGCTCGATGTGCGTTCTCGATACTGTGTATATTCTTCAAACGAGGGGAAGCCTTCAAGGTCGAGCTCCTTATCACGTCGGGGACGACTTGACCATACGTCGCCATCATCATATTGCTTTTTCGCGCGTTCGTAACTATGACGCTCTTTGATGAAGAAATCATCCATGATTTTATCTGGATTATTCTCAACTTGATCACGGACCAAATAGAGTGGTACAAAAGGAGATTTGAGGTCAAGACCACCCATGGACATGGGAAAATAGAGGTATCCTTCTGGAATGTTTTCCACACCAAAACGAGTATGAAGCATGGATTTAAGAGTTGAGGTAACGGAGCCACCGGTTTCGGAAAAGAGTTGGGTTTGAATACGGGAGAACGTCGTGAGCATATCTTCCACGTGGGCGAGTCCGAAACAATGGGCCGGTCGACCGAAGTTTGTGGTGAAGAAACGGGAGCCGTAGATATTCCAGGCTTGAATCCAATCGAATATAGACTTGCAGGCGTTTAGTTGAAGACTTAACTCTTTGATGTGGTTATCAACTAGCTTTTGGTCAATCAAGAATCGACCAGTGAGAGGATCCAGGTACAGGAAATTCCAACGGACTAGCTCTTTAGGGAGAGACGATGGAACCTTGGTGATAGTGGTAGGATGGCGAGTTACGGTGCAGGAACCTGTTTTATCAGTATTAAAGGCAAGTCCCATGAGGGCTGCAAACTCTTTCATGACGTTCCAACCAGATACGCAAACTGACTCGCTACTCCAGAACCATATATCATCGTGTAAGCGATATAGACGTGCACCATTGGTTCTATTATTCATGGCGAAATCAAGACAGAAGAGAACAGTTTCGCCGAGCATATCACTTAGTGGACCATTGATTGGTGTTCCACGTTTGCGGATACGAACAGGGGCGGATGATCCATCGGAAGGAAAGACCATGGGTGCTTCAAGAGCGCGGCGGAAGAAAGATATCCATCTGGAGGAAACACCAAAATGTGATAGAACTGAGAACATGCTTGTATGAGAGAGAGAAGGTCCAAACCAAGCGAAATCGGAACGAACGACCGTCACAGGGTTGCCAAGGCGAGTTTGCATTATTATTTCGGTTGCCAAAGTGTGAAGAACTGATTGTGTGATTTGCTGAGGGGATTTACGAGTGTCAGTTTCGCATTCAGAGCCATCGTCTGCGTATCCGCCTCGTTGTTCCTCGGGGGAATGTTGTAACTGTTCGAGGAAAATTTCAGAGTTGAAATGGCTCTCTCGGATAGCTTCAACATTGATTTGATTGCTACTAGTAGGTTGGTCAAAGAAGTATTCGCGTCTGTGTTTGGCTGCGTTTGAAACTTGTGTAGTGGAGCTGGCCCAGACATTGTGGGAATTTTTGAATTCGGTAAGCTTGCCTTTGAAGAATACAGACCATTTAACGCCGAGATAACGAAGAAGAATGGATTGCAGAAGATCTTCGTCATGATAAAATCGGTAGCGACCGTTGACTTGCCGGCGTTGTTCGACAGGCGTACCCTCGGAGCCCCATTTCCACTTGTCGAGTGAGGATATGCGCATATTTAGAACGTCGGCAACTTCAGCGAGGACAACCTTATTGCTTTGGAAGTCTTTAAGAATCGCGCGCTTTTCATCGGTAAGAAGATCACTGCGTAGGAGGCCGTTTATCACCCATTTCAAGGACTTTTCGTCAAAGTGCACTTGGTTTTCCATCTCCTTTTCAAAAGTAGCGGTCTGAAGTCGTAGTTTCTCCCAAGCATTCTTGATGTCCGACGTTGAGGTAAAAAGCTTGGTGAGATATGATTCGATAGCAGCAGAATCGGTTTCTAGAGGATTAAAAACATAGTCTTCCCATTTCTGTCGCTGCTCATGCATCTCCTTTCGACCAATGCTCTCAAATTCGTCATCAGACGCCGTCTTTTCTTCCGAGGCCGAGAGCCACTCATTGACAAGTCGACCATATAGAGAGGCATATTCATATTTCAAAGAGTGAACGTCGAGCTCTTTCTCAAGTTTTTCTTGCCAATCTTTGAGGAGGCCTTCTGAAACCGATGGGTCATGTTGAGCTTGTTGAAGGAAGAGTCTGATGTTGTATAACGAGATAGATTTGTTGTCCTTGAGCTTTCCCATAGAAGCAAGACTCTCAATACGATCTAGTAAGATGCGAAGTTTCTCACTTTGCTTGGGCTGATTCGAGACGGTTTTAAGAAGTTCTGACTTTCCTTGCTCGAATGCAGATCTCTGACTTGAAATCTCTTCGAGTTTGATGGAAGTGATGGAGGAGAGTGTATGGGAAAGAATATCGGTGGATGCCATGATTAAGCTTTTTTGTAATGTAAATTATGAACTTTGACAAATTTTGCTGGTAGAAGATGTGCTTCAACAGCGGGCGATTGTAGAAGGGAGAGAAATACTAGTGTAGGTGTGAATGATGAGTTTCCTTGGAGAGGATGGAGTGAGAAGGGAAGTGAGAAAGGAGGATCAGTGCCATATTTATAATTTGAGAATATGATGGAGCTTCAATGTAGATAAAGACAAAATTCCACACAATCATGATGATATCATCACCAAAGGGTACAATAGGTCATCCCAGGCACAAAAGAAAGCTTCCCTGGCTTATGAAATTGGCTTGGTATGATTGAGAAACTGGGGTATTCAACTTTGCTAATCCAGTTTCCTCTTAGTCGTTTTGACAAAACATAAAAATGTGTGTGTTGAGATGCACTGCTTGACCAATAAACTCATCAAAGAAAGAACTATGCACGTATCAACTGGGTCCAACCATCAAAGATCAACAACGGCACAGAATTGCTTTCTCCACTTGAATCATACATGAGTCAACGGCAAACAATTTTCGGAACTGTGAGTGAATAATGAAATCCCCGGGGGCCTCCAGGAAGGAGGCCTCCCGGCAAAATTTCCCGCCATCGATGAGAGAACAAAAAAGGTCTACAACTATGCCTTTGACATACGTACAGTAAATATCAGAAATTACCCTTGATCCAGGAGCTCTAGATTTGCAGATGACAGCATTGACGGTAAAGGAATAGGGACCAGGTGAGGTTGAATTTAGAGGAATATCAGAATCTATATCGGTTGTTCCTTAGAAGGGTTAGTGCGGCTTGTTCCTGTGGCTGTGCCACTTTTAAGGTTACATGAGCCACACCAATCTTCTGATTTGCTTCGGGGCC